CAAGACAATAAAAAAAAAATTTACTTTAGTACTTTCGATGATAGTTCTGACATTTCATCATGTAATATACAGAATTTAAACATATATACATACTATGTAATATTCATTAACATGTAAATAAAGTCAAAAGGAAGCAATTTATTTTACAAAATTATTTATATGTATATTAAACATTACATTTATAGTCTTTATACTCTTAATCATTAATCGAGCTAATTAATTTCTCTACTTTTTTTTTTGTTTTTTTTTTTTTTTGATGCAAATTATACATTCATTAACTGAACACTGTATTTTATGCACATAATTATTCCAGATGTAATGCTTTGGTAAAAAAAAAAGTTTCATGCTTTTTTTTCTTTTTTTTTTTTTTAACATAAATATACATATGGTATATGTAGAAGTGTAAAATTCAAACAAGCATATAAATTCGTGTTAAGTTAAAAAAAATTATACTGTACAGTTGTAAATTTAAAATGTAATCGGTGTGTTTAAAGAAATTTTTTAAAAAAATCATAAAAATAATCGATAAAAAATTGGACTTTCGGAATTTTTTTTTTTTGTAAAAATGTTATCCTATGAGGGAAACATGAAATAATTGAAAATTATATTCACAAATTTTTATGTATTGGGAGGGGGGTTTAGGGCTGCGATGTTGTATATATAAAATAAATAAAAATTAAAACAGAACATCTTAAATGTACTGTTATCTTGTGGTTTATGTTTAAAACAAAAGATAAAGAAAAAAAGTATATAATCACAATTGATAAATAAAAAATCATAACCTTTTAACTCGATCAAATTATTCGTTAGCATTAGAACCAAAAACCAAAAAAAAAAAAAAAGTCGTAGTAGCGAAGAAAAAAATGTATTCCACAAACTGACAAGCAAAACTTCACGCCTAAAAATTTGGCGTTATATGGATAAATCAATAGTCCTTTTCTATTGTGTTAGATTTTGGTAAACAAAAATAACCATAAGTTCAATCAAAATCTTTTAAAATCCAAGTTTGATCCTCTGTAACTCGTGTTACCATGAATCACTTTTAGTTAACAAAAGATCGGTGCCTTATTAACATTGCAGGACGTGGAGTATAGTTGTTGCCGTTCGTAGGTATCATATTATCATTCTCGCTTGATAGTGCCGATTGCACCATTGCTGGATAATGCACTAATATTGACTGAGATGATGTTGAGGGAGTGTGCATAATTTGCCCGGTTGTATGCGAACGCTGAACATTACGTGGATTATGCTTAGGAGGTGTATTGGATGGTGATACATTTGAAGGAGCAAATGTATTGTATCCAGCTGATGATGAAACAGATGTTGCATTATTATCAGGTGCATGCACCATATCCAAAACTTGTTGTAGTTTCGTTTGTTCTCCATTAGAAGAAAATGGTACAGATGGATGTTTTAGAACACCATAATTTTGCGATTGTTGTATTTCACTAGATCGTGATTGTGAATTTAACTGTTGCTCATCACCCGAAAATCTCCGTCTCTTTGCCATTGCACCAACCATTTGATGTCGTCCTCCATTGAATCCATTGGTAAATTGTGCATTAGATACCGGTGTTGATAATACCGGAGCAGGAGCTGGTGAATTACCATTTTGTGTTCTTGCTGCCATTGAATTTGACATGTTCATTCGTTTTCCTATAACTCCCATGCTCGCACCACCTGGGCCGAGTTGTACGGTTCCTTTAACACCTTTAGCTGGATTCTTACCAGCAGCAACAGCACCCCCATTGCGATTACGTTTTTTAATAGTATCTGTTTTAAGACTTAAGGGTCTTACGACACCATGAAGTTTAAGGAATAGCCCACAAGCATTGCACAATGGTTGACCTTCAGGGTTACGACGCCATAAAGGTGTTGTTTGCGTATGACAATTGGTACAAGTGGTTGACATAGCATTTTTAGAAGAATTACCATTATTATTATTGCTATTATTATTTCCACAATTATTACCATCTTTAGAAATTGAAGGAGATGGTGGAGATTTAATGTTATTTGAAGTAGAATTTGAAGAATTATTATTTGCAGGAATAGATGGTAATGATGTACGTGAAGACGACCTTTGTCTTTTACATGGTATCGCATTTGATGTGTCAGACTCAGATGCTTCACCACTAGTTAATGTGGGAGAAGAATTCAAGGAATTGTTCTTGTTTATACAGTTCATATCAACGACAGCTGATGAAACGCCATCTAACGAATGTCTTTTTATCTTTGATGAACCATTAGAACTATGACTACTACCTGATACATCAAATTCAAAATTAGAATTTTTATTCTTTCCTCCAGAATTAGAATTTTGATCTTGTTGAATAAGATCATAAATAATATTAGGAGACGTAGATAGTAGTGAGGGATTAATATGTGGATTGTTGCTTTGCATATAATAGAGAAAGCCATCAGCACCAATATCACTTCCGTGATTGAAGTCGGGAAAGTAAACACCTATATTATCGGCAGATGTAAGAGGGGTGCTGACAGCTGAATGATTATATGAAATTGAATTATTATCATTTAAACTATCAGGAGCAGCAATTTCACAAAGGCTATAGGAGAAATTCTGTATATTACATGATGAAATGTCAGAACTATCATCGAAAGTACTAAAGTAAATTTTTTTTTTATTGTCTTG